TCAATTACTCGAAAGAAATCTATCTCGTCTTTCAAATGTTCACCAGAAGGCACGACTGGAGCTTAGAGAATGCTTCAGAGGAGCTTAGAGCGTGTCTTCGAGCAAGTAATCCACAATGCACTGATAATTTTCGCCGGATCGTTGAACTTTGTGCACAAGTTATTCAGAGCGTTCATATATTTGAGAGCGTAGTCGTACTGAAATAGCTAAAGAAGATTGAGCCTAAAAAATCAACTCAACTGCTGAGGTCTGTGTGAGCGTTAACATTACAAAGTGACCCATGTATGCGGAGTTATATTTCTTAGGACCTTTCTTAAGACGTAGATTCAAGTGAATTCACACATCATCTTTTGTTGTGGAATCAGGCCCTATTCTTGTACATTTGGTAGATCGGAACGGGCCTAAATCGAAGATTTTCGAGTTCGAAAACAACCCCGCGATCGCAACTTGTGGATAGCGGTCTTCAACTATAAGTATGCGATCTGAGGTATCGCTCAGATTTCGCGACGCCGCGCGTGAACGCGCTGTAACGAGCAACAGCTTTGAGTGCGCTCGCGCGCTCCAATGCCACAATGCACCAGCCTCTATTCGCATGCTTTCCTTCAATATTACACGTTTTTTTCCATTGTTTTCTGATTCTAGTTCATTTTCTTCCATTTTTTTTACTTTGACATTCAATTCCGATGTAGTTACTCGCATTCGATGTGCTGTTATGCACGTTACAGCTTACATTGTTCTCACTCATTCGACTGCAACTTTTTTTATTCTAGCCCAGTCCCTGAGACTGAGAATTGAAGTCAAAAACAGTATCAAGTATCACATCCGTGCTGCTCAGTGTAATAGTTCTAGGACTACAACCTTGAGAAAACGACAATAGATACCGGACATTTTCGTATATATCACTTAAAATACTGCCAAAACTTCCAGTATCTTCGCGCTGCAGCACCTAATGTGGACACTACGTTTGGCTCCATTCGGGGCTGTCAACAGGACGTCAGCGGCTGCAACAGAACGTCAGGGAACAGTATCCAGTATCCTAATAACAATGCCTAATATTAATTTAGTTATTACATATTTCATATCGATGTTTGAATTGACATTGTCCTTATCAGTCAGAACTCAGCAGAGCTACAGCGGATGGTGGAGGAACTGAACAACGTCGGCAAAGCTATTGGCCTCACGATGAACCGGAGCAAGACCGAGGTCATGCGCAACGAGTGGGCAGATGCGTCACCCATCATACTCGAAGGCACTGCTCTACCGGATACCGACCGTTACGTTTACCTTGGTCGACTCATTTCCATGGACAACAATTTGCGCGAAGAAATTATGAGACGCAAAAAATGCGCATGGACGGCAATGGGACGCATAAGAGAGGCGCCCAGCTCATTTCGGACAGGAAAATACGAGCTGCTCTATTCGACTCTACAGTACTGCCTGCACTTTGTTACGCATCCGAGACGTGGGCAGAGAACAAGGCGTCCACGCTGATGTTGACACGTGCCCAACGAGCATTGGAACGGACCCTGCTGAATATCAACCGCCGAGAGCAGAGATGTCGCAATCTGCGCAGTACAGACATGCGCTCAATGTCAGGCATCCACGATGCCGTAGTATACGCGTGGAATGCAAAGAAGAGATGGGCCGGACATGTGGTCAGACGTACGGACGATCGGTGGACCACTCGCATCACACTCTGGTATCCGAGAGACGCGAAGCGCAACTGGCCGCCCTGCAACCCGTTGGAGAGACTCCTTGAAGCAACTCCAAGAAGCTGCAGACCAACACTGGGTCCAAACCGCTCAAGATCGCAAACAATGGAGGGAAGCGTGTGCTCGTCGCTGAAGAGAACCGGCTGAAAACGAGCGTCCAAGTATCCAAGTAAGTAAGTATTGCATATCGAAGTAAAAAGAGAAGCTCCAAGATGAAGCAGAAACGGAAAACAAAGGAAAGTATAAAATTCCAGAGGAATGCATGTAAGAGAGGCTGAGGTGATATTGCATTGGAGTGCGATTAGTAACTTGTAGCGCTGTACAGCGCGTTACAGCGCGTCGATACGCTGCGTCGCAAGATTGAACGCTGTCTGATCTGTGCAACTAATAGGTAGTCGTAAAGCTTAGGCCCTTTACCAAGCTTTGGCACTATTCCACTATTACTGCTTTAGGAACTAAAAAACCACACTGCTTAAACTTAGCCAACAGAGGTGATAAGTGCCCTATACGAACAACACATTTCTGGCGCTGGCGCCGTATGGCGGTAGTAAAATAGGTAGGAGATAGATAGTAGCTCCAATTGGACGTCACCACCTATCTCACCGCGCTCGTTTTCGACGCTGGAGCCATTAGGCGCCAGTTCGGCATCAGACTAAAGGCGGTCGCGCCAAATCGGCGCAGTTTTGCGCGAAACGGCGCCAGTGACAGAAATGAATGTCATATTCTTCATCAGGATGTCAAATAAGTACCGTATACAAGTTATATCAAATTCGATAAGAAAAATGTTGGTGCCGCATGGCACCAGCGCCAAAAATTGATGTCATGTTCATGATGAAGACGCTGAATTACATGTACAGGCACAGTTTCAGCGGAAATTTTTTCAGTTTCTGATGTGGTATAGTAGAGTAGTGACGAGCTTTTCTTTCTATAACGCTTGGAGAGGAGAAAATCACCTTGCTGATGTCAATGCAAATCGAATTGAAAGCTCCCACGACCTCGTCATGACAGTCGAGATTATGAACACTGCCCTTAACTTCGAGTAGCTGACGTCTGAAATAGCGACAGTTGAAGTCGAACTATTGTATACCTCTAGAAGGAACAAGATCCTGATACCTTTCGCTTCCATCAATGACCAGGAAATCAATTAGATTTTTGAAAACCGCTTCAATCTTTTTCCGATCCTGAAACGAGATCGTCGCTCATTATTCATTCACGGTCACGGCAAATAAAGCTCAAGCCGTGACCTCTGCAAGGTAATCCGGGCAATATTTCTCGCGGAACTTAAACAAATGGCACGATATTCACCTGTATTTAAAATACCTTTCCACGGAAGGTCAGATTTCTTCTGCACTAATACGAGCCTGTTGCACAAAGCTCAGAATTGGCCTTTGTAGTGACGCTGAAGACAATGCATGCAAACTTTATTGGCTGACAGATCTTGTTAAAGGCAAGTGGGACGATAAAATCCCCAAGACGTGTGGGATTAATGTGCCTAGCAGGACAGATTTTGGTGCCTCTGAGCCTCTGAGAAGGCGGAGAACCTTTCCCAAGGAAGGTACCCCTATAACGCCCTATTAAGCTGCAACATACCGACCGGTTGCATACAGCGCCCGCCCCCAAATGCCCGACCGATGCTGATGCTCGTATCGCTTCATTTGCGAAGCACAATATGAAGCGAAGGGATTGATGTGAAGCGGCTGCGGTGCTGCATGGATATATGAGTACATACATGCAGCCGTACCTACCGTAGCGGTTACTGGCACGATGCCACGGGAAACTCGTCCAAAATTGCTCTCTGAATCGTAAGAAACAAGGCTTTCTGCAGGATTTTGACCGTTTTACTTGCTCTTTTCACCTTTCGCTACTATATAGCACTTACCACAGGTACTATACTCTCAAAATCAGCGGCGGATTTGCCCATCAGCTGTCCACAGAAGCAACTGCGTAAGCCATGTCGCGTTCAGTAAGTCTACAAATCACAACGGTTCCAAACGAGAGTAGAATGCGTACCCCATTCTAGAGAGGGATTGGTCCACAGCGAAGACACTATCCCTCTATACCACATCTTACAACTAATCAAAGCTCCACGGGTACTATGGCTGAAATCACAAACTATTAAATTGGCCGATAATTGAGCTTATTCACAAATCGCTGTGCAGGTCAATTCAACGCCTCAGTTATCTCCGAAATGAAAATAGAAAGCGAAGAAGGTGGGGAAGTGTGCTATGATCAGCTGTGTCGAGATCTACTGGAACTTCAGACATACATGGCAGAGGAGGCGCTAACGATGGGAAGAAAGATACATTTTAGGGTGTTGGTAACACCATCAAGGGAGCTTTCATTCAGTATCGAATTTCTTTGCGTCGATCTCGCGATGATAGCCCTGATTTATTGACTTCCGGCGGTCAATCCTGGTAGCATTATCCTGGCAGATTTATTTTACCACCTGCACTTTCATTTTAGTATTGCTCAAACGTCGCCGATCTGAAATGCACCTCCACACGTCAACGATCCAGTGGCACATAATCTTTCACAGGGTAGACAGGTCCGCAAGCACAGACATGGTCACCCTTCCTGGACTTCAAGGCAGAGCAGACGATCAGTCACAATTGTCTAAGCTCATTGAACCGAAAGGGAGTAAGGAACGAAATGAATGACCTTAAGTGAGTTTCACGCCAGAAAGTGGTATGGTAGCGGCAGTGAAGCACAAGATTGCTCAAGTGACTCTGCCCACGGTGATAGATGTCTTATCCTATCTTATTCTTGTCTTGCTCATTTGCATATTCTCTCGCTGCTTTCTCTGACCTCTCGCCCGATACCCACATCGATTCTTTGTCTCTCGCTTGACGTAAGTGTTGCTCTGCGTGGAGCGTTTTTGACCATTTCCTTCAATTTTCCTTCACGAGCAAGTCGACACATCTACAGTTCTCTACAGTTCTGTTTCTAACCCACTACCTACGAAATTTTCGTTGACTCGTCGCGAAGTCCTGCCTTTATTGTTTGTAAGGAAAACGGTGAGACCTCCTCTAGCCGGGTTTGTTTACGCCCATCGGGCCGAGAGCTCCCACAGTAGTCGTAACAAGATAGCGTAAACGATGGGTGGCTGGAGAGCGTTCGTCTGCTCTCTAGCCACCCATCGTTTAGCCTCTCGCTTCATCGGCCCCTTCAGACCTCGTGCTTGATAGCTCAACCTGTCTACGCATGTACTGCTATCCTGGAATGGGACTCCAATTTTCGTTGCGAGCGTTGGGCCAAAGTAGAATCCTGCTCAGTTTCACTTCACGTCTTTTATGAAAGCCTCACCTTTTCAATTCGATCGATCTGAATGTCGACAGCGGTTGAATTAGGGTCAAGCTGTTTCATGTTTCTCAAATGCATAAGCTCCACGTCTCTCGATGGCCACAGAACTTCCTGGTGTTTGGGCTAGAATTCTGCTATTTACTCAGCTAAAATATTACGAAAAAAAAACCTTATAAGCTCTTTCCAGTGCAACCACTTTCTAATGCAGTTAGATTGTCGAGTAGCGTCAACTCATAACCAGTAAACATAATGAAAAAGAGCGTCTGTCCTCACATTCTTCCTTGTCCTTTCGCTGGCCCTCAGCATAGGCATTCCCAGTGCCTTGGAACCAATCCCACCGGTTCCCTGGATATGCTCAGATTACCAAAGCGCATCACATCAGATTTCACCGTTAATTCTCCCGCTATCTGGAACTGCTCGTCCAGTGTTTCAGCATTGATGTTTGTCTGAAATTGAAAATTTGAACACGATCGGTAAACGGAGGAATGTAGCCTGGTAAAGAGGAATACCTAGCCAATATTCATCCGAATCTCTCCCCAAAGAAAGTAACAGCAGGAAGAAACCCCAAGAAACGGGAACGTAGCCATACTATAGTGGTCTCGGTGGCAGATTTGGCTAGCGTTTCGAGTAGGAGATGGTAGGAGGCTAAGCGTTGCCTGGGAGAAGAGAATCGTAAATTGCGTTTCAACGGCGGCTATGGGCATTTGCACTACCCTTTCGATTGGGGCAGCGGATTTCGTGCAGAGTCTACATCCTACTCTACATTGTAGACAAGGACATGGTAGCAATTATGTCTATTTCTGGTCATACATTGCCTATTCTCGACCAATACCACCTAAAATCGTCGTCATTAGCAGGCGCGATGTCGCACGCGACGCCCACTGGTGCGGCGAATTACGGTTCTCTTGCCGCGTACCCGGCGTTGCCTAATCATAGTCTAGTATCAAGTGGCGCCGGAGAGTATAGAGAAAAGGGAGGCCAAAGTGCGTAGTTAGGCAACGCCTACTCTCCTGTTTCCATATGGTCTCACACAGCGTGCACTAGCCGTTACCCGTCTATGGCTGCGTTCCCGTCAACAGTGGAGCGCCATTGCTGTGATAGTGCAACATAGCGCGTCCACACACGCCAGCGCAAAGTCTGAACGCTGCCCCAGCTAGTATGCGTGTCTCTGATAAAAAAGCAAAGAAAAATGAAAAGAAAAACATCCCCATGTTCATATTTGGCTTAAGATTTACATTTTCGAGCTCCATGTGATCTTTCACAGATATCTAGATAATTATTAAGTAAGGAAGAATGAATATGAAAGCGCTACTACCTCATCGGAGTCCTCCATCCAATTAACAGAGAATTCAGCTCCGAGACACGGTAAATTTAAGTGATTATCACAGTAGGTGGCGTAGGATTCTTGGCTTTCTGAGGTGGCAGTGATGGCGTATACTAAAGAAGGCACTTTAGCATCAATTAGAACTGCATGAATTTAACTTTATGATCAAAAAAGAGACGGACTTCTATTTGAACTTACCATTAATATTGCTTCTCAGGATATTCTTGAACATCGACCCACTTCTACATGACTCCAAATAAAATACCAGCTGACTGAACCGATGTTGTCTGTGCATGGTCAGTAAAGCTTCATTGAGACGTTTTGCCGTCAACTGAAATTCAGAGTTTAATGGAAGTGCAAAAAAGAAGAGGCATTGTTGTCCATAATATTCAGACCCCTGCCCATGGCATACACGATACCTACTACGACTTTCTGTATGAGAACTGTTTTACTCTTTGTTATTCACTGAAACGTCCGCCTCTTCGTTTTTAAGGGGGTTGTGGGAATAGTAACCCCGTTTGGCTGCAAAGCAAACTTTTCGTCTCGCGAATCGCGATTCATGTTGCTGGATGCCGTACGTCCTAGGCTCTATCAAAGCCGTGTTGCGAGCGAAGGACAGCCGGTCAGGGACATACTTCAACTCGGCGCGCTGTTCTACGAACAACTCAAACTCACTCTCCCTGATGCCAACGAATTTCTCCTTTTTTCAGCGCTCTCACCTCTGCATGGCAGTTTGTGACAACACTGGCCTTTCACATCCCAATTTCCAGGCACAACAAGTGGATCATGCCCACCCCGGTGTCCTCTCTCTTGGGAAGAACTCATCTCCTGGCTGCGATATGTTTGGCACCTCTCAAAACCTTTGATTCTCTGCCCTCTGGCCTTTCACAGCAGGACCCTCACCGAAAGTTTTAGTTGTCACGTCCGTCGGCGCTAAGGCGGCCTGACAGCCAGCCAGCGCGTTTTCTCTCTCAATGAGCGACGAGCACGCCCAGTGAGGCGAACCCAGACCAGGGTCTTGCTCGGACGTGCTGTCTCCTGGTGGAGGGCCGGTTGTGGTTCGCACTTAAGACACCCAAGGCCGGCTGTGGGCTGCGGAGGCAGTATACTGCAGATCCACTGGCTGTCCTCCATACTTTCTGTTGTAGGCGCAGTCACGACGTGTATTGTTATATGTTAAATCTTCAATCTGTATATACGGGGAAAAAACTACTAAGCACTCACTCGTCCGCCTGGGAAAGCGATTAGACCCGTGCTTCCATGACCGGAAAAGTAGACAAAGATTCGATCATGTGTTGTGCTACAATCTAATAACTATAAAGTTCCTATGTAGGAGGCTTACAAAATAAACAATGCTTGCCTGTTAATAACACGACCATTTCCTCCATGCACGGCCCCTGCGTCCCCTTTGAGAACGGCTAGGAAATTCTCCGGTGTGACTGAATCGCCCTGCAGAGAATATTTTTATAGCACGAAACTCTGCAGAAACACTGCCACTGTTCACCTTGTAGTCAATCTCCAAGCCTTCATAGACGTTGGTACCGTTGGGTGCGTTGTAGATTTTGCCCTCGTGTGGGTTTCTAAAGAAAAACCATGATCTGCCTTGAGTCCAAGTGACTTTCCAACCAATCTTCATATGGGGTGAATGCTGCCTTTTCGAACACCGTGTTTTTCTCTGCTTTTTGAAAAAGGCGACTACCTCTTGAATGACTAGGGTTCGGTAAGTTGTGGATGAACATGCTTTGGAATCAAATGGTTCCTCATCAAACTACGGGTGTCATGACCCTCGATTATGATGATAAGGATGCACAAGCTACAAAAACATATTTCCATAAAGGCGCTCATAGAGGTAAGGACTGATTCTGGTGAGAAGGAATGCTCATATTCACTAAAGCGGAACCCTTCCTACAAACAACTACAGACCTTCTTGGTGATACAAATCTGAAATATTGAAACGCACTTGGTGTTATTCGCTATGTCGTCATACATCATAACGATAATGTTCTTCTTTTTGATCCCGTGGTTCAGCAATGTGTGGTAGGCGTGGGCAACATCAGCCTGAATGTGC